AAACACTATTTCTGAGGAATTAGAAAAGCTTCCAAGTTCCATAAAGAAAATTAACAGGAAATTTGTAGATTTTCACATACAACATTTTAATGCCATTATGGCAAGCTTGATATAGGTCGTATTCTTTGTAAAATCCTGAAGACGAAGATACTTTATTTTGATTTATACTCAACTCTCCATCATTTACCATAAATTTATCCTTTCGAATAAGCTGTCTGGTCTCACTTTCACTCTAGTCGAGCAATGACTTAGTTCGAATGTTGCTGAAAAAACGGGTAAGTTTGAAACTCTGGTTCATTTTACGAAATGAATAGTCCTCAAGTTGATGTTCATTTGTGTTCCAAATGAATCACATAATTTTGTATAGCATTTAAGTTTCGGTCGCGTAGACAATCAACATTTTATACGAATTCAAAATTGCAAAAATTTAGAAATTTATTTTCTAACTGAAGATATAGAGATCAAGATGGCACAAGTTTACAAACCAAAAAGTATAATGTCGAAACTTTAAACATTAAAAAAACAATCTAGTTTTAATTTAGCAAATTAGCTGAGAATCAATAATTAAGAGCTAACGAATTAAATTTCTTCTGTTCGTAGGTTTTTGCTGGAAAAAATGGAGGCAAGATGTAAAATCCTATTTTAATCACAGCGTTGTGCTTTCTGTAGTCTGTCTGCAAGCACTCCATCAAGAATAGTTGCAGGAGGTGATGGCATTGGATTATTTAGACTACCTGTTTACTTTCAGCCAAGAGGCTTGTTCCCATGGCGTGTTATTTTAGCTCGTTTGGGCCTGACAAGTAGCTACTCTCGAAGCCGCCATCGGGCACTGTCTACAAAGCAGCAAGATGACCGGTAGTCCTCTCTGCCAGAGAACACGAGAATCCCTGTCATTCGCGATAGCAACACCAGAACTGCTGACCGGCAAATAAAGATACCTGCAGCCTGCAGCCATAGTGCTGTAGTGTTTGAAAGCCGATCCAATAAATGGTGGCATTTCCATCCACAGGGATTGTTTTATTTTGCGTTCAGCCGAGAACGTCGGTATTTTCAACTGGCTTATCCACAATATAACCCTTGAAATAAGAAGTGATAATCCCAAAACCTACTTCAAATGATGATAATCATTCTTTTACTGAAATCCATTTACGAACGGGTCTTTCATATGAAAAAAAAACAAACAAGAACAATACCTTTATTTGAGACTTAGCGGATCTTAGAGGGCCAGATCATGTGGTTCATCGTAAATGCTGACGGAAAATTCTAGGCGTTTTTGAGAAACTACACTGCCGAAGATGATGTTTCACTCACCAATTTGCCATGTCTCAAGATTAAAGGCAAATTGGGTTGCTCTTTTGGTGCACGACAACAGGAACATTAGGACCGAAGACACTGTTGTAATGATGAAAGACTAAATATTGGTTAGTTGAAAGTGGGCTCACTTTCATTTTAGCTTCGTCGCTTGCCCTACAATATTCAACCAATTTTATTATTGACACTTTTTTATCACAAACTTACACCATTAAAATTTCTTTTCATTACAAGTGAAGTTTCCCCATAATGCTGGCATGTCTCTATGAGCAAATGGACGACCTTCCTTTGATGATAGATAGCCCAAATGCAAGAGCAAACCAACATTATGCTTTAAATTCTGTATAATATTAGCATTATCCTTTCAGGTTTGCATATCCTATATTATGAATGATTACTCTCAGTTTCACGACCTTAGTATCTGAGAAGCTGTAGGCTAGCTTCAGTCTCCTTAATGAATTTTCTGTAAAAATTTTTCCATTGATTTTAAGTAGAACGCCAATAAAAAGTTTTTCTAACTTTTCTATATAAACAAGAAATTACGTCAAAGACAGGGATGTTTAGGCTTAAATTCTGTACATAAAGGCAACTAAATCATGAATACAGAGAGTTTCGTTTTGTTTCACTTGGCCATAAATTTCTCTCTTCTGTCTACTGAACACTGGCTTGATCACCTCAAAATTTCATATATTTCTCATATCAATTTAGACATTTCATATAAGAGGAGATTTCATCTCACTACGGAAGTGATAACTAAGTTTAATATTTGGTCGAATGTCATGTAGTGTCAGGATTTCTGGTGAGCTGCCTAGCTATAAAGACCGCTAATGTATTATTGAAATGAGCGAATTTCGTTTTATTCAAAGCGCACTCATACATAAACGGGTAAACAAAGTAATATTAAACTTTCCTACTCTCAGAAAAGCAGGCAAAACTCCTCATAAGTGCAGGAGTCCTAATTACTTTGCATTGCTTGCATCACTTCGGGTAGGAGTTGTATATTCGAATTTCGAGTCAGGATATGTCCTTCAACCTACTAATAATTTAATTACTTAATTACTAAATATATTTAATTAATGAAAAATCTTTCTTATTAATGTATGCTAATGCTATTAATTACTTAGTTCCAATTAGTAATTTAAATAGATAATTAATTAATCAATGTAATTTTCTTAATTATTCATTAACACCTATAATTAGCTATTAATGTATTAATAGTTCCTATTTATTAGGTAATATTGCAATTAAATCACTAATTTATGATATCAATGATTATTTATTAATCTTTAGTGTCCAAAATATGGCATTCAGTCATCAGAATTTTGATTAGATGAGAAATTTCATTAACTTAGCAATGATCTATACATCTAAGGTTAAACACTAAAATTAAAATACACGATTTTCTAAGGTTAATAGTCAAATAAAATAGATTTGATGGAAAGAACTATCAAAAGAACAAGAAATGCATCCTCCTAAGTCGCTTAATCTGACTTAGGGACTGATAATTGAAGTTTTCCACAATTATCTGAGTAGGCTTGATGATGTCAAGGAATTCCCCTGAATCCTACTTCGTTCCAGTCCAGGCCTGATGTGATAATAGTTTGGGAGTCAAGACAAAGTGAGCTTCAGTAGTAGTCAATGGCCTACTCTTGTTATTGTGGAAAAACACAATCATAAGTTCTCAAATCCCACTAAACCACCAAGCCTGATTAGGCTCCTAGGCACGAATAACTGAAAGTATCGAATAAATTGATATTAATTAGATTCGAAAATACCTTCATAAAGTTGTAGAGATATTACTTAATTCGAGATCGGGATTATCTGAGAGGATATTTTAGCTATTACTTTGTTAATTATTGAACAAAATTGATAGACAAATAGAGCTTCATTGAGTAAAAATAAGGTATGACAACAAGTGAAAGTGAAAACTAAGCCAGAGATGGGAAAGCTAGAAAGCGCAAGCTGGACTTGTGTATAAAAGACGAGTAGTTAAGATGGACAGCTGGGTCTTGAAGAATCTTTTAATGAGGTAATGTGACTCAAATAATTAATGAATTGGTCCCACCATAAACCGATTGTCGGTTAATCGTCATTAAGTAATTAGGCCAAAGTGTCGTCAATTGCTATGGCAAATACTAATTTTCATTTTTATCGTAAAGTTGGTTGGAAGGAATTCATGAAATTGCCTCACCAAAAACCAAAAGAGGATTGTCGCAAAGTGAAGACTATTGGATTTTGGAATTAACCCCATCCATTGGCAAGCATGTAGGCTAACCGAATCATGGGATAACATGTATTCATCCTATCTAGTTTAAGGTGATAATGGGGCTGGTAGTTGAATTTTCCCACAATCGGATGAGTAGACCTCTCGATTCTATTGAGTTTCACATAGTCGTGCCTCATCAAAAGGTATTTCCATTCAGGCAGAAGTGTATTGCAGTTTCGAAATCGTCAGAACTGGTCTCATCAGCCCTTCCAGAGGGACTCGAACCATGACCGTTCGGCGTATAATCTCGATAGGTTTTCCACAGGCGCCATTGGGTCACGAGGCAGATGTGAGTTTCGAGATAGGCCAGAAATTTCATCGTATCACATTCTGTGTTGGGATTGTCGATATGTGCCATAGCAATCAACTACTTATTAAAGAAAAACACATCATATGATGCAAAATTAGATATAATCATTGAGTTGGTTGGCGGCAAGCTATTTATTCTCCTGCCTTAGTAAAGTGTTGCCCTGTATGGTAAAGATGTTCTCTCACGCTGGTGATGTCTAGCACCGTCGTACAGACGAAGGCCTAGCATGGGTTCACTGAAATCACAAGACGGTGAGTTGATGGCTTTTCGCATAATCCAAAAGTCATTATTGTCTCGGTTTCTGATGAGACCAATTTACGAATTGCCATTGAAATGAAGAGTCAAGTCATGTTAAACTACTATTTGACGTTACACTCGACAACAATTTTGTCAAATTATTTGCGAGTTAGAAAAGGATGGGGCTAGACTTCAAGGTTAACTTTGCTTTGTTACTTGGCGAAATCGGACTTGTGTGGTTGAGCGTAAAGTTGCCGTTAGACACTCAAGACCTGTCGTATGTATTGAAAGTTTAATTCAAGATGATACTGTGATCCAGGCTGGATAAGAAAGCCTTTTAGGAGGTAAAGAATATCTTAAAAGGAAAAATTTGTTTGTTTACTTCTCCCACTCTTGGCACTATGGGGAAAGCGTATTTTAGCAATCGGTGTGGACTTATGAGAAAGAGTTTAGAAAGTCAAAATTTCAAGTATTAATAGAATATGTAATAAATACTTGGTTTTACTAACGTTGAATTCGCTTGAGTCGAGCTCCCAGAAAGGACGGCTGATTCCTATTACTGTGAAATCGTCTGATCTTACTAAGACCTCCATGCGGATACAATCAACACGATATCCTTCTTAGCTTCAGGGGCAAGCAAGTTCCGTTTTATTTCTTTCCATAATAGTTGAAACTAATTCATCTGAAGCTTTTCTAGGAGAGTGTCGAAGAGTGATAGGATGTTGTATAAGAACTATTGATGCTCGATAGATAGACTCAACTATAGTTAGATAGAGAGAGAGAGAGTGAGTGAGTGTTTTGAGCCAAAAGCAAAAAGGTGATTCATCTGGTCATCTCAGAGGTGTTTTTTTCGGCAATTCTTCTAAGCTCATCTTCTCAAATCGAAGTACAAATTATGCAATCCCAGTGATGCCATTTTGGTCTTGAAACCATGCTTACATAAAACGGGAACTAGGCTCTGTTGTAATCACTCAATATTATGACCTTTATTTTCTACTTTGTCGTGAGCTAACCAAATAATTTTATATATATTTATCTATACATATATATATTAGTGTGAGTTTAAAAAAAATAGCTGGCTAGTCTTCTTGACATGGTGATAACTGGAATCTTGTGTGCGAATGAATGCCAAATCTTTTGTTGTCTATCCTTTGTTAAACGGAAGCCTAACCAAAATCAAATCAAGATATCTCACGGACTACTTCAACATGAATGCTCTAGTCATATTGGACAAGTGGAGTCGCTTTGTGGAGAGATCGATCTAGAAATCGCTTCATCATACAGTTTCACTGTAAGAGTATTATCTTATGAGATTCACCTGAACCCATCTAGTCCGTTTTATCAGCATAAGTATTTATCTACAGCCAATATCTGAGAGTTAAATTAATAAAAGTTTATATTCAATCAATTTAGCTTAAGCGGGATAATATTCTCTCTCTTCAAAGAGCCTTACGCATATTATATAGTTTGATTGACTTGAATGGATATATATAGGTGATTACTCGTTTAATGACATTTTAAGGAAACCATAATCCAAATGGTATTTTTGTACAACAGATGTTCTTGTAGCATAAATACTCTGTTCTCCTTACCCGGTGGATTTTTGAATATATAAATAAGTTAATTAGTTCAAGCATAAGAAGTGCATTAGAATATGCTGACAGCATTGTTGTATGGAGGTTTACATTCCTCAGGACGGCTTCATGCGTGATATGTTAACATATGTTTATCTTACGCCCGTCCACAAACAGTATTTTAAATGCAAGAGCGTGCAGCAACCTAAACCATCAAAAGCGTAACCTTCATCGAAGATTGTGTCTTTATTTGCTTATATTAGACTGTCTTTAAGCTGTTATCAATGAGTAATCTAAATCAACAGCCATCAATTATTATTATTATTATAAAAATTGGAATTTTCCCAACTCCCTTTGTTGTGTTTTATGCCAGCCAAATGGTAAATTCGATAGTTTTCCGGTCATACAATAGAATAGAATATAATTAGGAAAACTAGGGCTGTGAAGGTTGATTTTAACGAATTTCTTACTGCTAAGATATTATTGCAATAATCGATCATCAACTTCATACAAGCTACGATCTTAGGATAAATAT